ATATCGGATGTTGTCAGGGATCTACGATGGCTTAGTGCTGATCAGCTCGTCAGATATCATATGTTGTGCCTGCTCAAAAAAGTCTTACTCACGGGTCAGCCACCAGACATAGCCGCGATGTTCACATGTGCTGAGCCCACTCATGAAACGCGACAGGCTAACCAGCTGAGGCGCCCCCGAGCGGTGAGCAACTCTGGCACTCACCGATTTAGCTACAGAGCATCGGATTTGTTCAATTGCCTGCCGCCCGACTTGCGCAATGTTCAGAGTCTAGGCCGCTTCAAGCGCCAACTTATGGAGTTGCTACTGAGTGAGGCGAATGTTGGCACATGAGTGGGTGCGTGTGTGAGTTCGATTGTGTGTGATGCCACAATGTGAATGCAGTAGCGTAATTCACCGAGATTATCCCTTGACCGATGTATGGTGTGTTATGCTGTTTTTACTAGGTTTCACACTGCCTCTTTTATGCCCATTTTTATCAATGATGACGTGTAACTTCTAAAAAGTCACTGGATCTTGCGGAAAATTACGAAATACATGGACACGTACCGTGGGATGTATGCCAACACGCGTTTTGGGTCTCCCGTCTGTAAGCAGTTGCCGTTTGGGTACGTGTATCGAATACACAGGCTCGGCAAGGAGCAAGATGTGCATGGGGTCACCTTACCGCCCCCCCCCCCCCCCTTTCTACATCCGTGCTGCAGAGTGCAGAACGTGCTGCATGTATTAAGTTGTACAGCAGACAATGTATTCTGAGCCATATGCTATGCATAGTTTTGTTTGCATCACATGAGTTGTCTTAAAGAAGTGAAAGTCTAAAGCAATACTCACCAGCATACTCGTGCAACGAGTTCATAATCTGCAGCACATAAAGCTTCCGCCAGATGATAATCAATCGAGCAATGTCTGATCCGCATATTAGACCATTAGACCTTTAGACCGAGACACTCTCGTATGACGGCTGAAGGAGCGCTCGGTAGCATCGTTTCTATACGCAGAGGTATTTTGTGTTGCTTGCTGCCCGCGGCTTGGTGATACCTGCGGCGGCGGACGCCGCCCAGCATGGGGGTGACTGCAACGCCGTACGTCGGTATACGTCGATATTTGGATCGATTCGCGCCTCACGGATTTAAGTTTTTGGAAAGAACTTTTGCTATGCCGGGTACTTTTGGACTCCTGCGCCATATAATTTCTTTGTCTCACTTGATTTTGTTGCTGATGACATACCCTAATGTACAGTCGACCAGTCTTGGACTTGTTTAGATTTGCAAGACCGTCATTTTGCCGTTATCAGAAAACGTACGATTTAAATGGTACATGGTAAGGCTGAATGTAAAAGGCGTTACCGCCAACTCCACTCTCCCCCACAACACACGCACACTCATTTGGTCGTGCGTACATCTTTGCCAGTGTGTGGTGGTTTGTGCTAGGCGTTTTGAGATCACGTGCTGGTAAATAACAGTACAAGTCTAGGATGGTGCCGGTGTGGGACCGCTTTTTCGAACGTTTGCAGTGCTTTTTTTAACTGTACCACTTTTTCGAAAGCTTGCAATGCCTATTTCAGCACGGTCTGGTGGACTCCTGTGCCTATGTTTCCAGCCTCCATCTAAGCCCATATATGCTCCGAATATGAACTTTTACCATTCGTTTGAATGTTTCCAGCTTTAATGACAATGTTGGCGTGATTTACTTCATCGTCATCCCATTGTCGACAGTTCATATTCAATGCTGCACTGCCATGTGCGTGGCACAGGACGTTCGCGGAGCAAAGCCGTCCTGGGTAAAACCACCGGCTATTCAAGCATTTAGTTCACAAGCTCATTCAGGTCATATATCGATTGTGACAAGATTATAAAATAGCTCGGAAATATTAAAACTGATACATGACGTTTATCTCTATGACATCGGCCTCGGAGTCTCAGGAAGGTGATACGGGCGTCTAATGTGATGTCTGCATCTGTCTATTACCATGCATTTACGTCAAGACGTGAAGCTGAACTGCTGAAAATGAGTTAAGTGGGATGCATCGTGCAAACTGCTAATATATTCAGATCGATCAATACATGACAAAAGCATATCAGCGGTTCCTCTAGTGTTTACGGAAGAAGTAGAACAGAGGTACATCGTGGGGGTAAATGAAACTCATCAAACGCGTCTCGTTTGTGTGCAACTGACGGTTGCGGGTAAAATTATGACCTGGGGCTGAGGAAGCTTCGAAGTTTTTTCGTTTCATCATTGATTTGGATAATCTTTCCAGCGACGGAGTTTTCACTTATCCTTTTGGCGGGGCCTTGGCACCACCAATGTTATTCTTGGCCCCACCACCATGTTTGGAGGAGCTCCACCCACGGTCGTTGCATTGATTTTCGGTCGGTTCTTCTTTAGAAATTCAGTTAAAGCGATTGAGAGGTATACTTAATGAGGGGTGGGGCAGTGATAATTTTTAGATTGCCCCCCCCCCCTCCAGTGACAATTCCTTATCCGAGGCCCTGCATGCGCACCAACTAGGGCGCCTCGAACGCTGGTTTGGAGCTTCCTCATCACTCGGCGGCCGGCCTCGGCTTTCTTAGAGGTGCGACAGACAGCCAACATCGTCGTCTAGCGGCAAGGCACGAGGCACGGAATCTGGCAACAATTCTGCAATCAAAACAGTCTTAAAGGTCAAATTTAAGGTAAAAAATACAGTGGAACGTCATTTGAACAGACGGTGCCGAGAGATTTCGGATTAATTTCGAGCATCTGAGTGCTCACCAGCGCATGGTCTCGCGCCCGACAACAAATCTTGACCAATCAAAATCACGCTTCAAAGACAAAGTCATGCTTAAAGATCGAAAACCTCGCATCACCCAAAAGTTACCAGGCGATTTTGGATTTTCAAGCATCAGAGTATTCACCAGCGCATGAACTAGCGTCCGTCAAAAGGTCCTGACCTTTCAATGTCCCTCTTCATGGCCAAATGACGGGAAACTCAACATCACCCGAAGTGGCCGGCCGATTTCGGAGTGTAAGACACCAGAATCGTCCTCAGCGCATTAACTGGCGTTTGTCAAGAGGCCCTGACTCCCCAAGACCATGGTTCAATTTCAAACTAAGACCCGAATACCGAGGAGCTCGTTAACACACGTTACCGGCTGATTTCCGATTTTTAAGTATCAGAATATTCACCATTGCACGAGATAGCGTCCGTTCAGAAGCCCTGACCTATCAAGATCACCCACGAAGGTCAAAGGTTAACCTTGAGAGATCGCGAGTTGTCGACGGAGGTTAATTGATGCACCGACGAATATTCTGGTGCTTCAATGTCTGAAATCGTTCGGCAACTTTTGGGTTATATGAACTTCCCTGTCCCTTGATTATGAATTTCACCGTCCTGTCATTTCACCCTGTCACTTTACCCTGATATATTGCAAATAGCTGTCATATCTGGTGTTCTCGTGCCACAATTGCTCATTTTCCCGTTTTCAGCGAGCGCAGGACGTCAGGAGACAATCGGTATCTCACGAACTTTATATAACTGTACCTAAGTGCCCCCTCGCGGCAAGCCCACCCGAGCGCAGGATGTCACGGGACACTCGAGATCTCACGGACTTTATATAACTGTACCTAAGTGCCCCCTCGCGGCAAGCCCATCCGAGCACCAAGCAAAACCCGCTAAAGTAGCTTTGGAAGCCAATGCAATTACAATTGATACGGCTGATACAATTGCCAGCTGACTAGAGTAAAGCTGTTACCAGCCATAGCATGCCATCATTTTCCTCAAGGGGTGCAGCATGGACTCATCTGGGATCATCCCACGAGCTCCCATGACCCGGGATGACCTTGCACGCAAATTTGACCCGATGTGCGACGATCTTCGTACGCTGTGAAGTCTATAGACACACCTCTAACGGTTCTGAAGACTTGGCCTTGACCTTAAATTGATTATACCTAATCTATGAGAAGTCTCAGTCGCCCAGCGCCACGATAAGCGTTTGGTGGCATCCTGACGTATTCTGGGTAAGGTGACGTAATATTAAGTTTCCAACTCAAGCAATTTTCGTCTGGACTAACATCTGGACAGACGAGCCCTGTGGTGTTCATGCACACATTCGCTCCAAACCAGTGCAGGTGATCTGCTGAACACAGAGCTAAGAATACATCGAGCGATCCCGTTTTCTACGTCTTCGCCGTGCGATCTTTCATAGGGAGATCACGGGCCAGTGACCGAGATGGCAGCACTCGAACTGGCGGGCCAGATATAAACGAGTCAACCCCACTCGCCAGAATTCGTTATTATGCAACGAACAGCTGGGAAGATGCCTCCGGAGACCGGCGGGCGGTTGCCGCTCCTCCGGCACTAGCGCAGGGTCGTCTTGGGGACAGTTAAGTACAACATGACTTTCCACACGCATTTTACGAGCCAGTTGCGCAGTAGTGTTATGAAAGGGGCCCAGCTTAAGCACCCACACTCTGCTATCTACCGCGCTAGTATTGATAACATTCCGAGTCATCTCGCAGGATTCACAGATTGGATGGTACCGTTTCATATGCGTGCGCACATGCCAAGTTGTAGCAATGCGCTGCTTCGTGCGTTGCCATACTATCGCCGTGCTCCTGCTGACCATACGCAGCCGCGTACATGGAGCCAAATCTCTGCACGCCCTCGCGTAGCTCCAAGGCCAAGCTCGTGCAGTCACGAGCCAACTACCCGTGACGTTGCCAACTAGTCAGCGGCATTCTTCGCCAGGGCGCCGGCAGCACCACCGCGTGCAACACCGGCAGCACCTCCCCTGCCCCACGGGCTGGTGACGCCACCGCACGTCCCGGCCCTGCGACACCAGTGCGGCGCACTGCCGTGTATTGGGAACATGCACTGGGCGGCGAGCAACAACACGATTGGCGCGGCGCCGGCCGGGGTTGAGGTGAGGCGGCCGGGGGCGCGGCGGCGGCCGGCCGGCGCTGACTGGGGAGGCGCCTGTCTCCAGCAGCCGACCGCGCCGCGCCGCCGGCTACTTCTTGTCGCTGACGGCCGCCTGTGCCGCCTTCTTGGCCTTGACCAGCTCCACCAGCTCCTGCAGTCAGAGATGGAGGGTCAGCAACGGACCGGACACGAGACGTGCCGTCACAGAGGCGCCGCGGCCGGCACAGCGCTCCGCTTCCGCGGTCACACGTCATCACGGATCGGGGAAGGACGCGGAAAGCGTCATCCCGAGACACGCCGCGGCCGAAAGCCGCGCCAGTTCACAAAAGCACGGCACGGTCACCCCCTGGGCCATCAGCATCCCGCCCGAAACGGTATCGGGCAGCGTACACACCGGACCCCCCCCCCCCCCCCCCCAGTTTCTGCCGGCACCGGGCTGGTCACGGCGACGCCGGGCGCGGAGCCGCGTACCTTGTAGCGCCGCATGCAGTCCTTGCGGGTCCGGTTGGGCAGACACTCGGCGATGCGGTCCCAGCGTTCGGCCGTCTGTGGCCCGTACGTCTTGAGTGCCTGCTCCAGCCGCTTCTGCTCTTCGGGCGTCCACGGCGCCGAGTTGCTACCCTGCTGGTCTAGCGGCGCTGCAACGGAACACGCATGGCATGAGCGCAATGTGGCAGGAATCGAAACGCTCGCTGTCAGAAGCTGCTGGCAGGAGGTGAAACATCCACCCACGCACGCATCATTAGCAGGTGGTCGCCTGGAGCGGCAACGCACAGCGTCAGTATAGGAAGACAGCCGTCACCGAGAATTGCACCAATATCTCACATCGGGACGGTTCATCCGGGAGGGAGGGGAATATAATACATCGAGCGGAGGATATCATACGTCAAGGCAGGAGGATATAATACATCCGGACGAGGGGATACATCCACGCAGTTTAGAGGGAAGCCGTTCGACGAATGAAGGCTATGACCTGCTGCCAATAAGGGGAAAACAACTCATATGGATGCCCTACGATGCTAGCAATTGAAGTCCGTTTCCAGCCGATTACTAAGTCCAAAACTGAGGCTATTGTGTTTGGTTTGGATACGATTAGAGCCCTTTCGGACGGTAGTGACTATTCCAGGGCTGTAGCGTGAAGGAGAGTGGATAATGGAAGGGGAACCTACATGTACCTGGGTGTCCGAGACCATGTCCGCACAGGGACCCGCACATATGTTGTGGGATAGGTGTTCCGCACAGGGATCCGCACATGTGGGATATGTGTTCGGCGCTCGGCGACTGCCGACTACCAAGTACTCCCATAATGTTAAGGCCCGCACCGCGCACTAGCACAATCAAATGGGCGTCCGCCACCCCGTCCTTGCTGACAAATGCTGCCCACACGTACAATGGGCAGATACCGTCGACCAATGCGCCTTGATTTCATGCAGCTCGCGCGGCCACAGTGCGATGCGGTGAGACTGGCTTTGGACAGCGGAAATGGACACGGCGATGCTGATTCGCCATTCGCCCACACAAGTTTCCTGCCCGACACAGAGCAGGTGCACTGAGCGCCGTTCATGATAGCTGTTGCCACGTTCGGATACATATTTGGCTTCACGCATGTGGCTTGCCATCTTACGTAACCGTAAGCAATCCACGCCACCATGTGAGTAAGTCTGTTCATCCAATGTCGCAGTGCCGATTGACCTCAATAGATGGCGTTCGGCCCAAGCGTCGGCAGAAGAATAATGGCTCACTGGGGGTTAGTAACCGTGATTCTCCATCCGTTAGTCCGCACCTAGTTTGGTTCAAGATCGAACGCCATTTGGTTAATAATTCCATGCAATCGTTTTTCATCGCCCAGGAATTGTATGACTGATACAGTTAAGATGCATGTCGACGGCATCCAATGCAACTATGCGATACGCATAGAATGAAGGGATTTGTACACAACATTATCCTAAAATCCATACTATTTCACGATGTGACTTGTTGTGCATATATGCACCAAGCTAATAAGACAACACTGGTGGAGGAGGCGCGGCCGGACTTCCCAGGAATGGGCAGATTCGAAATGGCACAACGTAAATGCTTCACTCCCCCAAAACGATCGCAAAAAGGACCTATGGGAACATGATACACAACTGCATACAATTTGTGTGGTCTCACATATCTCCATTCCACAAATGTGAACGATTTATTCCAACCGCTCACCGCGACGTGCGCAGCGATCCTAAACAACCTAGGTTCCCAGGAAAAAAACAACTTGGTCAACGGTCCAATGTGTCCCAGGGCAACCAGCGTGTTTTATCTATCCTTTTCCAGCAGCCCGTCGACCAATGGTCATGCTTACTTTCAGTGCGCTCTGAGATTCCCGAGTTGTCTATCTTGCTCGGCGCCTTGGTCGTCTTCTCAAAGTTCTCATACGCATTCTGGTTGGCCGACTGTTTGAGCCTCTGATCGGACTTCTGCAGGTCCTTCGCATGCGCCAGCACCTCTTTGGCAGTCCTTTTCGAACCCTCCACGTGCTGATTAATAAAGCTAGCTATTACTTCCCACCTGAAATCGCAGGAGGAACAATTGGCGCGCGTGCTCCACGACGTCGCTCATAGACGGGTGAGGCAGGCGTCAGCCGCCCTTCACCTCCCCATCACGGGTCGGCCGACGGCTGCGGCGTCGGTCACACTAGGTCCTCAGCAAGCACCCGTCGCGATGCCGGCAGCAGCGAAGCCGCTGGCCTCCTCACGTCCGCACGGGGGCCGAGACCGTGCGCGGCGGGCGCCGCCCTACCGTTGACTGGTGCCGGCGGGGAACAGTTTCACAGCCTTGATCAGCGTCTGCAGCTGCTGCAGCGTCTGCAGCGGGGCCGAGACCGTGCGCGGCGGGCGCCGCCCTACCGTTGACTGGTGCCGGCGGGGAACAGTTTCACAGCCTTGATCAGCGTCTGCAGCTCCTCGTGCGACCAGGCCTTGGCCTTGCTCTTGTCGCCGCCGGCCGCCGACTTGGTCGAGCCCGAGTCGACACCGATTCTGTCGGCGGACGAGTCAGGTGAGTCAAGGGCAGATCGGTCCGACTACGAGTCGGGAACTGGAACTTAAGGGAACAACCAAATCGCTCCTGAACGGTTTTTCGTTTTTCGAAAAAAGACGCGACTGGAATCACTTCGGTCGAAGGGTTAAAGGAATACTCAAATCAGGAGATAATAGTGAGATGGTTTCGAAGAACGGTCGGACAAGAAAATTATCAGTTTAGTTCCATAATTCAACAACTCCGATAGGTTCCATTTAAACATTACAACCCTTAAGGACTGGGTGCAATAAGCAGCTAGTCAAAAATGCAGATACACAAGAACACTGGTGCAAGCCATGTTGCAAAAAGTAACCACTGATTGGTGCGACCATAAGTCGGAGCACGTGCGTTTGCACAATCATGGTGTTCAGTTTCCATCCAAACCCAGTACCCTCATAGCTTGGGTTCAAAACGGGTGCCTATGACCATTCAGATGACGGCCAGGGCGCCAGAATACGAACAGGCACTTTCTTAGCGGTCACCGTCTGCGAGCAATGCCTCAGAAGGGTAAAATCACATGCGCGCAATGCGTGGGCGTCTCTTAAATCCCAACTTAATGCCAACATGGTGGTGGCTTCGCTTTTCCAACAAGCCCGCCAACTGCCAACATCTAGGCAGAAGCAAATGTCGTGTTGTGTGCCGGACAAGAGCCGCAGCAGGCGGCGGGAAACCAAAAACAGGGCACGTGCACCACGAGTCGCCCAATGCAGACATCTCACGACACGACGTCTGGCCCCATAACAGCTGACACTGACCACACTAATACCGAAAGCGGAAGCTGATAAGCTCCGATCCTAACTGGACCCGAGTGTGTCGAACTTCACCTATGGCACAGCACACATCAAACAGCATTTGAATGGAAACTATGAGCGAGCGCTTCATGACTCATCTAGCATCGAAGCATGTGTGCAAGAGACACACCTCGCCCCATAAATAATGGCATGATCTAATGCATGTCCATTGATTACACAGAGGGCTGTGGCAGCAAGTCTCATGATTTGGCGGGTGCGTGCCAGCTATTGTGCCACCAGGTGGGTGCCGAATCACCGCCGAATCATTTCCCGGCACAAATCGTTCACATACATGCCATTCGTCGAAACGGGAGGACATAAAACACGACTGATTGCATTGATGTAGTGCAAGAATAACTGTGAACGATCCTTGCACCTTTTTGGCTTTCCCCCCAATTGTAAAGCATTCCTAGTAAAGGTTCGCAGCCAGACCGCTGCACCAATTAAACGAAGCAGCCATCAGTTAATGGCACCCATCAATCGTAGCACAAATCACGCAAGAAATGCATTTGAATATTGTTCTGCTTCCATCTAGGTTATTCTGCTTTGGTGTTGCCAGCACGTTTGGCATAAATCCCCAACACGATACGTGCTTTGGCCGACGCATTGGGCGGAGGCTGAGGATATGACATTAAAGCTCCATAAAGCTGATCAGTTTCGTAAGGGGTGACCCCGCCAGGGAAGCACAACCCAGCGTATCTGGAGTCTGCACTTGGTAGTTGAGTTTTTCAGTTATTCCCGGAACACAATGCAAGGCAAGCACTCCAACTGTGGACACTCAGGCCTAATACCTGTTTTAAGAGCCGAGCTGGCAATTCACGTAATGCAGGTTGCAGACCGCAGGGCATAATCTAGCTGCGCTCGTATTCATAACATGTTTTGTGAAATGTCGACCTGAACAAACCTTATAAAATTTTCGTGGCCAAAGCAAGAAAAGCTGGTCACGTTATGCATTGTGATATCCTGGTGAGGTTCACAGATCAGGTCGAGAAACATCACCGGGAACGGCATCTACTATTACAACCACGAACAAAAACTGGGAGCAAAAACAGGGGGCGAGGCGGAGGAAGGACACGCGGGGAAAACATTTGCAGCAAATGAGACGTAGAAACGCCCGGGGGAAAATACACATTCCAGCATATAGAGGTGAATAGATGGCCCAAACGACCCAGCTCAAGACAGGCATCATTGTCCTGTGCTCCTGGCAAGGACAATTGAACATGCGAATGAAGAACGGAACATGGAACATCTCATTCAGAGACAAAGGACCTGACAGACAGCCACCGCGGCACATGCACAGCAAAATTGCGCTGACACCAGGTGGTGTACGGCGAGGGCTCCACAAAACCTAGACGCGGGGCTGTACGGGTCGGCAGTCACCTCTCCTGCTGCATGTGCTCGCGGACAGTCTGCACCTCGGCGAGGAAGAGCGGCCGGCCGTCGGCCGCCGCCCGCAGCTGCTCGCCCAGCTCGTCCAGCCGCGCCGCATCCAACACCGTGCACATGCGCTCCACCTCCATCATGTGGTCGGCCCGCTCGGCGTCCGACGCGGCGAAGTAGCCGCTGCCGGCGCACAGCTGGCGTAGCGTCTGCCGGCTGCGTGCCAGCGCCTGGCGCGCCGCCTCACGCTCGCGGCGCGACGTCTCCTGCTCGGCGCGGCAGGCGGCCTCCTCCTGTTCGCGGCGGAGGCGCGCCTCCTCCTCGGCCGCGCGCAGCGTCTGCGGAGCGGTGTCGGCTGTGAGGCGGCGCGGGAGACAGCGGCGCAGGGAGTGGCAGCGCGTCCGATGGCGAGACACGCGGGCACGGCCACACATGCGCTTCCACGACGATGCAGGACACGTCGACAACGAACTCCTGTGTACGATAATCTCCATTTTACCAGCCTCTACGCACGCGGACCACTCCCCCGACCCTACAATTCCCTCCCGCTCTGACAGCTCAGCAGCGTCGCCGGCGGCCCGACCGGTCCGGCACGACCCTTACCGGGACCCCGCTCGTCACTGACCTGCTGCTCCTCCTCTATCCGCTTCTGGCGCTCCTCCTGTTTGCGCTGCTTCTGAGCGGCCTTCTTCTGACGGTCGGCCTCCTTGAACTGCTGCACACGCGGATCGCAGGCATAGGCACTGTCCACCAGCTGGCGCAAGCGCGCCGTCTCCGCCTTCTTGCGGTCTTTACGCGCTGCCTTATTCTGCCGCTCGATGAAGCGCCGCTCGTCCCGGCTGACGAAAGAGGTGAGAGGGAGGAGGGGGTGGTGTCAGACAAGGAGCGGACACCGAGCCAAGCGGGGCGGGGGGGGGGGGGGGGGCGGGGAGGCCTCAACTCGCAGCGAGGGCCGCCACGGAGGCAAATATGCCTTGTAATTTAACATGTTTTCCAGCGTGGCAATGCCACTTGAACCGGAGTAAACCTGTTTTTGGTCTGGCAGAATTGGGACACATTTGTTCGACCTTTGTCAGTCTTGTGCTTATTTCAACATACTGAGCGGGGCGGCTGCTGTTCGCCACACAGTCCATTGTGCCAATCAAAGCAAGCTATTACGTCAGTTACACAGCTATTGACGCGGCATTTTAAATGTCGCCCCTGCGAATTCGTTATCCCCATATTTGATTTGGGTTCAATGCGGTTGAGTGGGTTGAGTGACACATGTCGCGTCACACATCGACGGGCTTTGTTGCGAAACCTATGGCAATTCGTTTGAACGCATATCTCTTGATTTTGTCTTTCTCTTAACAGTAAAAAAACAAAACAAAAAAAAAACAGCAGACCGATAAGGTCAACAGCCAATGCGTAAAAACGCAGAAACCGAATTACATGTTGCCAGTCTACTCAACCGATCAGCGTGTCCGACGTGTGAGAACAGCGAGAACTGCGATCATCGGAGGACGGCATCGAGCCTGGCGCCCCAAACACACGGCCATCGATCATCGATAGCCAGCAGGCGTTGGCTGACGTCGCGTACAAGTGCGCTATCGCCTGACACAGCTCGGCGCATGCGGGACGCATGCGGTCGCGTCTGCAAGCCGAGCAAATCAATTTCACACTAAAGTAAAGGCGGGAATGAGATGCATGATGCGCATGATTTTCAAACCACCTCATGCGCAAGACACCATTGCGGCGCCACTCACTTCTCGCCCTTCTCTTTTTCCTCCTCGTCCAGATAGCTGAACTCGCGCCACGAGTCGAAGTTGTACCAGAAGCTGTAGAAGCACTCGACGTGGTCGCGGGAGGAGGTGGGCGAGCCCAGGTCAGGCACCGGCTGCTTGCTGGACCAGCGGGCATTCCTCGCGAACACCGGCCGGAACGTCTGTGGGCGGCGCCGGCGACGACCGCGTCATGGCCGGGTCGAGCGACGACGGCGCGCTCGGTCCCCAGCGTGGTGTCATGGCTCGGCCTCTCCACCGTGGCCAGTCACCAGTTGACCGTTGTGGACAGGCCAAATCTCGGGCGTCCCTTATGGTACACATACCTCATGTCTGCCACACACTGCATTTTATGTTAAGGAGACGCACTGCACGTCATCGGGTATACTTTTAGAGACCACCAACGGCTGCAGAATTCATATTAGCGTTATCAGACGTCGTACAATCTACCTACTAGAGCACCAGGACAGCACAGTGCATGGCAACGTTGCGGAAACCTCCCGTCTTGAAGCTTAGATCCCACAAAAGGTGTGCTTACAGCCAATCCATAATTTGAATATCGCACACACCACACACAGAATCTTTAATTATCACCTCTTTCGGCTTTAATGATCATAAATTACAGCTCAGCGACATTCAAAAACTTCTAGTCTTTGAGCAAAGGGTCACCCGAAAGGAGTTTCAACAGCAGTGACGTAGCCTGGGGTCATTGTGGAAGTAGCCAGGAGACCATTGGGACATGCCCCTCCCCCACCCCGAAGTAACCTACCCCTGGAGCCGAAGGCTCTACTAAACGCCCACGGGGATTTAAAGCATCGACAGGCCCTCGAGTCATGCAAAGGTGATCTAAAGCCAACAAAGGTCCCCTGCAGCGACAACGTAGGGTTCCCTTAGCTGGCAGGGCCCCTATCATCTGATTTGACCACCTTTTGGGCAAATCCTGGCTACGCGACTGCCCAACAGCCAGCAATAATTGGAACCGCGCGTCTGCGGCACAGGAAATGTTTTTCTATGCTTCAAATCGTGTGCAGCCACTCACCTAGGGATTTAATGTCCACAGCGAACATTTCGGAGAAAATTACGATCAACAAGGGACTAGCTGACCCGAATCGCCACAGGCGACGCACAAGCTATAAATCAATGCACACGACTTTAACACTGGCAGCGCAGCTGTAAACCATGGCCACATATGGTGCACATTGAACAGAATTATTCAGAGCACAGAAACAACCCAAACTGCGTGTGTCCAATGACGCCGAGCCATTTTGCCCTTTAAAGGGGTTGGGTAGATTTTGGGGCCAGTGATGTAAATGGTGCGAACTTTTGATTAGTGGGTGAGTGAGTGAGCGACTGCTTGAGTGAGTGGATGAGCGAACAACTATGTGAGAAACAAAGTGAATGAATATGAGTGAATAATCGTACGGCTGTGGTCTGCAAGTCTCTGCAGATTTTTGTGAAGAATGTCCATGTCTCTTAAAGAAAACACTACTCTTAGTTTTCAAAGGAAGGTTATCCGAAAAGTTAAAAAATCATTATCGTTCATGAAAGGGACAAGCCCACCTTCAGTTCAACTTACTCTTGTCTTCGGGCGAAAAGCACAATTGCCAAAGAGCAGCCTTCCGATCTCAAAGCTCAAACGACCGAAGCATTGTAAGTTGTTCGCTTTGTCTTCGACCGCAGCGCTATGGAAAACAAGTCCGTCACGATAACTCGGCTAGTCAGGGTGCCTGACTTCCGATCCAGCCGCCTGTGACAGGCGATAATGACACTCTCATCATGGCTGTTTAATGATGAAACGCTACGACCGAGGACAAAGCGCAAAAATTACTAAACCTCAGCTGTTGGGACATGTAAGGACGGTTGAAACTGTAAGGACGAGGGATGAACAGGCGATTTCAAATAAGGTCTCCATCCGTTCAAAGGGAAACCAGACCGGAAAGCTTGCTTTGGGACGGCACAATCCATCACTTCGCAGTGAGGGGAAAAGGTAGATATTCACTCATAGTTTTGTGTGATGGATGCACCACTAGTTCGACCGGCGTCTCGGAGCTTTGGTGCGCGTCTCGGAATTTTGGTGCATTTTACCACACCAATCTGCGATATCAATCAATCCAATAACATGATACTACGCGCACATTCCAAAGCCTTAAGCCAGCGTCCTAGCACCTGAAATTGTTGTCAAAAAGGCAGGTTACCACCAGGTCAAAAAGTTCAGCGTTACCACCAACACCAGAATACAATCAATCTACTTGAAACACAGTATTACCTACATCCGCTCAACGCTATATGCGTCAATAGAACAGCCCAAAATTAAGACCACACTATTTCTCGTGACTTTATCTCAACATTTGGACGAGGGCGAGCCCATCGTCAGCACTATCCCTGACGTCCACACAGCCATGCTGTCCACGCCTCACCGACCTTAAAGAACTTTTCCTTGCTGACTTTGCCGTCGGGTATCTCGTCGTCGAAGAGCGGGTCCACAGAGTCGAAGCTGGCCCGTTTGGCGGGCGCGCCGAGCGTCTCGTAAGCGCGGGTGATGCAGGTGAAGTAGTCGTCCTCCTCGCGGATCTCCTCTCCGGCGCCGCGCCGCTTGTCCGGGTGGTGTTTCAGCACCTTCTGCCGGTCTGCCAGGGAGGGGGGCAGGTCAGCTTAAGGTGACATCTCCATCATAACGCAACCGGCGGTGAACCGGCTATGTTGCCAGTCAGTCAGTCATCATTTTTTGTGTTACTCCTAAGCATAGCATTAGTAAGATCATTTGCACAGAAAGGCGTTAACCAGTTCGAAAAGTATCCTGTATGTAAACAAATACACATAATACATATATTATTAGGAATATATAATTTGCGTTCAGTGACAAATGCTCTTCCTAACTAGATTACATATCAAACATGCACAGCGCATTAATTGTCTAGAGTGGTTTCGCCACTTGGTCGTCAAAGCAACGCCTGACAAAGCACAACAGCATCATTGTACCGAAGGTTCAGAGTCGGCAGCAAAGCCATTGTATGAGCTTTACGCCTATTACAGAACATATATCGGAAATAATTCACAAGACGTAGATCAATTGTCCCGAGACGGACGGGCACACAGTAATGAAATGGGTGAAAACACTGTTCTTAAAAGACATGAATAAAGAGCACTTTCATACGTGCACTCCACCGTTCCGCCCTATTAGCCAGGTGAATGCGGGAGCAGCCATGTGACATCGCGCTGGTCATATCGGCAAAAGGAACACCTCGTAACTAGCCGGCCGAAACAAAAAATGTCACGTGGTAGAAATAATAGCGTCGCTAATTGATGCACACCGTCGCTTCGATTATTTATCGTCGCATGTGACTGGTGAGAGCAGTAACGTTTTCACCCATTGCGGAAGTCAGGGCAAGCGAAAGTTTCCTGCGGACAAAAACGGATCCGAAGTTCTCGACCCATTACCAAACCCGAATATGTTGCAAGCAGCTGTTTTAGGCGTATCGAATGCAACGATCAATTAGTGTCCATTGTCAGACTTGAAATGCGCCCGCCAGTTACAGGGGCTTGTCCCCAACCAGCAAATTTAATGTCAGAGTTCCTTACCCAAGGTGCCAACTACCGCAAACAACCCAGTGCCATTTACTCAGCTCCGCAACAACCGGCCTGTTCAATGAAGAACCCTCATCCACAGGGGCTTCGACACCGTCTCACAGTGCACTAATGATCGCGTGAGGGCGGTGGGATCGGCACCCCGTCCGGCACGCGGTGAGCGCGAAGGGAGCGGACGGCACGTACATGCCCGCTTAATGTCCTCCTCGGTGGCCTTGAAGCGCAGCTTGGTCAGTCCCAGCACCTTGTAGTGGTCCTGCTTCTGTAACGATCGATTCAGATGACGTCAGTGATGGCTAGACAGCTTCTCCGTAAGTATGCATTGACAATCGACTCCACAGCAGCTTGGTAACTAGGTAACTCACGTCTAGGCCGGCCAACCCAGTAGGTCGTGCAGCTTAGACAGTTTGTGCACAGGCCTAGTTTGTCACGGAGGGAAGGATTCCAATTTTGACAACATGTCAACGGCGGGCGCGACAATGAATTCTAGTCATAGCGATACCGGGAGACACGATACCACCCACACCAAATTATATAATGAACTATTCATAACAGTACAACAGAAACATCATGACAGCATGTCAAAAAACAATTTCGAGCTTTCTTACAACAAAAACCCTCGAAGATGGTCTACCAATAACGTGTTTTATGATGCAACAAAATACAATTCATGACCTGGATACCTTACCTACCGGGTCACGATCGTTACTGCAAGTGATACTACATTAACGCAGGTTTGTTACCTTACGTTCTAGCTGTTTCAAAATTTATTCCCTGCACGAACTCATCATTTTTCCCCACCCCCCGATGGTATGGCATATTGGTGGGTAGAACCGATTATGATCCACCTAATGTGGAGCCTGATCAGGGCACAATATACATTTTACTGGTGGCTACAAACTCCCATCATATGTCGCATACGTCGGACACTCCCTTTAAAGGAAGCGTCCTCCCCTCCCCCTTGGAACATGCTTCAAAACATACTCTGGTCAAACCTCAGGATCATTTACATGTTATCATAATACTGGGTAGTGTCATAACATCATAAAGACATAATAAATATATACATTTTACTTATTTTCGAGTCCAAAGCCCGCTGTCAACGCTTCATAGCAGCAATACATTTCTCCCTCTCGTATGAGCCCCAGAGTGTAACCCGAGTCCGCGACAACCACAGTTGTCTCCAGCGCCGTCATGACCACGATAGAATCTGCCGAGGCCCCTGCTGAGGCTTGAATGTTGCACCGTTACTGGTACACATGAGGTCGGTACAAATGCACGTTTGCGATTTGTACATCAGGCGGCAAGGACCAGTTTCTGTGAAACGCATCGGGTAAAGTTTGAACCAGTGCGTCACTTAAGACCATACGATGCTCCGTTTCCCAAAACCACATGCGCTTCGAATAGAGCCACTGTGATAAACACCGTAATGGAGAAAGCAAAGCCATAACGTTTCGCTGAATTCCCGGATAAAAGCCTCATGTTTGAATATTTTGTCCTCTTAGCACTGTTTCAACGCTTCATAACCTTTATTACACACAAATTCTGAAATAAGTACATAGCAAGCATTGCAGAGCAGACACGTTGGAAAAGACCAGACCAATGCAATGTATTGCTTTCATAGTGGTGCACGGGAAGTTCAATGAGATTTCTCCGGCGGAAATGCCTAGTAGAAATAAAAATTTTGAGCTATTAGCCGCTTCGCGATAGAGTAATGCACTGAATAGCTTAAAAAGCTTTAAATGTTTCTCTGCAGTTTCAGTACATACTCAACACTATGACCAGAAAGATTGCTGTCATGCATTTCATGCATGCATTTCATCATGTCATGCATTAACCTGTGATAGGTAAACTACCTGTATCCAACTAAGAATAAGTTCATTATACTAAACGCGACCCTTTCTAGACATTTCTTCAGCAATGCATTTAGTTCATCCAAATTCTAGAAAAAACACTAGCTCTGGCGGTAAGAAAATCTGAATCGACTGAGGGTGTTGGATGCCGGCTACCCAATTATTGTTCCCATCGGTGCTGTGTGAAGCAAGTGGGCTCTGAGGATCATTTCATTCAAGGATCACTCATCTTGGATCATGTTAAGGCATGTAAGCCCTGTGAGCTCTGTAAGTACTATACGCAAGCTCTGTAAGTACCGTGTGCAAGCTCAGTAAGCACTGCATTCCTTTGTACAGGGACGCTACTGGGACATGGGATTGTCGCGCCTGCGTGATAGATGCCACTTAATATTTTCTGACAAGTTTTGAAAAACTTCGGTAGGAAGCGATCTGGCATCATTTCTGTCTAAAAGGGCATGATCTTGCTTATAGCCAGCTAGCCGCAATTTTATCAAACTATGGGTCTTTACAAACATTGTTTAAAAAAATTGCGAAACATTACTAGACAAAAATCGCTGATAAAATATGTATGGTTAGAACAAAAACACTTGAGTTTTAAAAATGTTAAAAAAGCTTTGCACCATAACCGTTTGTAAAAACAGCTATCCAGAAGAATTTAGAGAAAACTGGCATTATCGCTCAATGGGACGCGTCTGATATAGCAATCATGGAAAAGTACAAAAATGCCAGCATACCCCTTTTAATTCGTTCCACATAATTGCCATAGTGCCAAATGTAAATAATTAACTTTGAACTGGACTGAACTCATCCACGGGCATATGCAAGATTTCCTATATTGTTTGCACAGTATGATGAATATAATGCAAAAGCCATGACATGTACATGTATGCTCGCACATACTGGCATTGTTCTAGAGCTCAACTCTCTGTGGCATTGGACTGTGAGAGACCAGACCTAGAGTTGCCCACTGCGGAAGTGGGCAACTCTAGGTCTGGTTTTCCTTGATCTGTACAACCCATGTTGCTCATGTCCGGGCCTGTCACTTGCGAACCCTAATTGATTTATATGCAAATGAGAAACGTATGAATATAATGCTGGACGTTTTTCATAACTGCTGAACTTTCCTTGATTACATGTATGCTTGCATACTTTGTTGGCTTGCAACACTTTCCTTTCCTTCGTAGTTTTCTTTTTCTATTAAAAGGGGAGATACCCGCTATTGTCTTCAATGGCTTCTATCGGTACTGCTAGGGTGCGGCCTATTTTTGGGTCAGTCTCCACTTTGCAAATTCCGCGTATGCTCGTACATATTCGGACGTGGCAGTGTGCCTGCGGGCCGCAAACGTTGCATTTCCAATATGCATGTGTGCATACTGCATGCTGGTTGATCTCACCAGAATAGTCCAATACAGCCTTTTTGAGACGAGTCTTGCATACCACACGCTCGGGCCTATATCGGGAGCGAACGACCACTGAACTACACAGGTGTGCAGCCCAGTCAACTGTGACCAATGCCGATCCCCACAAATATGCATACGACTTTCGCAACGCCTTGGTCCGGTCGTCACAAACGTAAGCCATTCCAACTTCAGCAATTCCACGGCTAGTCTTATCTACTGTCCCCTCTAATTTTGAAGGCAGAGCAGAGCAACATTCCCTTTAAAGGGAGTGTTCCACATATGTACGGTGTTTTGAACCGAAATAGCTTTATTGAAGATCATTCGGCGCAATTCACAGCCTTGTCCTTCCTAAGGCCGCTGCGCCTTGTTTTTGAGCTGCACACCCGCGAAGACGTGCAGACTTTTCCGGGGACATTATGTCAAGGTCATCCAGGCATTAATGACGCAATAACATCATTTCAATCTGCCATTCCATTAGCCATTGCAGCGATCAAGACGAAATGTAAATGTCGCGTCACTGATAGCTCGTAAGCTCGCTCGTAAGCATGATTTACAGATACAACGGCCGTCCACCGACTCTCCATCGGCAATATAGAAGGCACGACGGCTTAATCACACAATGACGACTTGAGGCATATATACTCAACAGAGAAACTGTGCTGTCTGGAACAGCCTTTTCCACTTAAAAGTGTGCCAATAGTTATAGGTTAGATTACTTCGTCATATCTGACGTTTGCTTCCAAGTCTTAGAATGTGGAACATTCCGGTTAATACCCTTGTCCCCTTGCCTTTTTAAACGCAATTCTCTGCATATCAATGATCTGAAAAGTAACTGCAAAGTAGCAAAGTAACAATAACTGCAAAGTAAGCATCAAATGTGATAGAACAAGCTCGCTCATAAACTGCTTTCAAAAACACATTTTCTTTTTGTTGTAAATACGCTCCTAAATCCGTCATTGTTTGGTTGGTCATGGAACGTTTGAGGACGTGCTACCAAACTAGCTGTGCAAAATTTCCACTTCCTTGTAGTACTTCAGACTCGCCGAGAGATGGCAGGTGCAGCGCTGGAAGTGTCCGCTGAGCCAAATATAGTTATAGTGCTTGTGTTTTGGCCCTTTTTCGTGGCGTTCATGCACATTTAGCCGGGAGTTTAAGATGTCGACTGGCATTGCCAAACTCAGCTGTGACGTTATTGGTAAGCTATTCAATTATCATTGTTAAGATTATTCGATCCCATTTCCTAGCAAGTGAAAAACCATGTACAACTTCACATCTTATGTCCCACAAAACGCGATTCGTGATTTCAGTTTGCAGAACTTAGTCCACATGGTTTGAGAGCCAGTTGGCATCCACCATATTTGGAAATAGTGTTCGGAAACGCTGGATCTGAACGGCTGACGATAATGTTCTTCCTGGTCTTGTACGTCGCTAGGAATGCGGGGTGGAAGGATTTGAATGACGTTGCTCTGACGTCACGCATGCCTGAGTGGCCTTGGAAAAGTCTGCACGAAACATTCTACAGATCTTCGCTGGTGTGTAATTCAGGAACTATAGGGCTTTAGGCCTTTGGCAGGACAGGACTATGAACAGCACCAATGATCTTCAAAACAGCTATTTCAGCTCAAGATCCCACACAAATGTGGAACACTCCGCGCGTCTGGTTACCTACATTATTCTTCTGGATTTACCCCATCTTAATTATTTTTGTTGTTGAAAACCTGTTGGCCTTGCCCAGAAAAATAAAGCAAAAGCTGTGCGCGTCAGCTGAGCTGACGTCAAAGCGAATGTCGTATTTTAGTATCTCACAGATCATTTCAGGGACAACTTGCGGCATGACCGAGCGTGGATGTTGCTGTCCTTGGCACTAGATTGCCTGATCTTAAATTTACATGGGTCTAAATTGTGAAAAGCGCAACCACCATGGGTCTTGTGTGTTGCGACTGTATTCATTCGCATGTGCCTTGGATCTTCGTTGGTTAAAGTGCATTCCATAAACATCAGCTCATGCC